GCTAGCGCGGATAGCCCTCATGTAGCTTTGCGCGAAATTCAAAAAAACAAACAATTATACAAAATGACTAATTTTATACTTATGATAGTGTTATTCACATTTATCTCTAAAAAGTGAAGTGGCACATGCTGTTAAGTTTATTATCTTCTTGTACAGTGAAGAGACATCGAAAGTATCCATGTGCTTGATTGCCTAAATGTGGTTATATACAGTCTTTTCACCACTATGGGATTAATCGCTTCAATATAGTTGTGTTGGTATGGAATAATAAATTAATCCCAAGAACTAAGCATGTATAAAATTCTATTTTAAATGTATGTGCCTTTCTGAGAGTACATTTTGACATGTAATGAAGATTACAGATTTAAAGATCTGTATTGTAAAATATAAAATTGTTTCATTTATTGTCCTTTTTTAGATAAAAACAATGCACAAATTATTTCCTAGTTCTACAGAAGGTGTAAATGAACAAATAAAATGCAGTTTTATTCTTGTAAGTTCCATTTAAATATCTCTTGTACTCTGCATTGTTGTTTTAAGTAATTAAATAAAAAAAAATATAGTTTGGGAGTGTAGATCATTAAATCTTTAAGAATATATAGCTTATGTTAACCTATACCTACTAATAATTTCACTATTCAGTTATATTTTGTATTTTTCTGATCAGTGTTACAAAGTAATGTTTATTTTTATCAACAAAAATTCAGTAGTTTTAGTAGAGTAGTCATGTAGAAATTTGTAGGGAGAAAAGAATTCCATGGAATGCTATTATTAATTGTATTTTCAGATTGTTACAGGTTTTGTATTACAGTGGCACATGTGAGATGTTTATGTACACAAGTATAGTACTAAAAGAGTAACTTACTATCATAATGAATGAAGGGTAGTTCAAAAATGTCTTTTAAAAAATCCTAAACAATCTGGAAATAGGAAGATTAGTCTAAAGGAAGAGTAATCAATTAGTTGAAGGTAATCAATTAATGAGCCCAGTGGTTAATCAATTAGCAAATTTTACTAATCTCCCATATCTATTGAACATGTTACTTTTGAATTTTTAGAATTATAATGAATTTCAACAGGTACTTACCTCTAAAATATGAAAAGTATTTCCTTGTTGAGCTGCTCTTATGCTGACAACAAAAATGTGGCTAAAGTTCTGAGAAACAGTGCAGAGCATGCATCAATATTCCCATATAGTTCTCACTCTCCCACTTTCCATATGACTTACTTCTTTTGTGATCTATATAAGCTCAGCTTTCTTGCTATAATTCAGATTTTGTAGCTGCAGTCATGATGGAAACCACATATTTCCTAGGTATGAGGAGGTGGATGGGAATGTAAATTAAGAGGTAAGTACATTTAATGAAATTCATTTAATTTTAAAAATGTAAAGTAAAAAACAGGCAGACCTGCCTCTGAAATATAAAAAGTCAGAATTGTACATTGAGATGGAGGAAGGAACCAGAGTGAGAGTAATAAGGACCCTTGAATCACAAAATTTTGCATTCTTAGGCAAAAAGTAACAGCATAAATCACAACAAAGTGTGATAAAGCTGATATGAAGAGAATTCAGAACTGGATTAGATTCAGTGGACTGGATTTATGATAGAATGACTAGAGCAAACCATGCTCATAAGACATTCAGAAAATTCATTCTTTTCAGTTGGGTCTCCTTGCCCCGTTTACCCTTTAACCCTCTGGATTTGGTGGGTTGAAGTGTGCCTTTGATGATATTTTTGCAGTTACATTCAAAATGTAGTTAACTTTATAATTAATGAATGTCAATAAACTTGGCATCAAATCTCAGTTTGTAATTCAAATTTTAATATAATTCTCTGTATCACAAGATACTTCTTCACTCTGAATTTTGTTAAACATTTTCTTTCTATCTCTATAATTTTGTGAGTGGCCTTGAACTACATACTTATACTATAACTACTGCTAAGCCATCATGTAAATTTGTAGCTTCCAAACTTCTTGCTTTATTGAGATTTAAACAATGAAAATCAAACCAATATGCCATGCCCTTCCTATGTCATTGTGTATTTCAAAAAAAATTTCAGTAATTCCCACTGATATTTTCTATTGGATTATTTATAACCAATAGAAGAGAAGATTTTGCTATAAAAGATCTTTTATGAGATTAGTTCACATAGACACCAGGCTAGGATTGATAGCCTCAGTTTCATTATTTACCTTTGTAGTGTTCAACTCGACCAGCCAGTGGAATTTTTTAACCTGTTTATAGCTTAATTAAAAAGTCAGTTAATAGTCTCACTACAGGCTCTGTCAAAGTGACCATCAGAGTTGCCATACTGTAACTTTTTAATATAATATGTGTATCTTCACAAGCTTTCAGTAAACATTACAAAGTCTTTGTACACAAAAAATCAAATTTTTTAATTAAGTATTTTTCCTAACAATTTGTCTATGAAAATATGGAGTCGGTGTTGACTGCACCTAGCTATTGCAATTGATTTTTATTTTAAGATTAAAAATACTTTTCTTTATTTGAAAATTCTGAAAACATTCTAAAGAACTGTCATTTGTTTTGTTTTTTCAGTAAGACTGTATTTTTATCTATTATTTCATCTACCCTAACTCTATACCCATTTGGCCAATTTGACTGTCCTCGTTACCACCATAAAAATATGAAATAAATCTAAATTATCCTTTTTTCTTTCTAGAATGACTGCAAATTGTAACATGAAACTACAATTGCTTAACCTAAATAGCTTAAGGCTTGTAACAATATACATCTGTACTTACTTAATTTTATTGTTTTATTGGTCTTTCAACCATGTTTAACTAATACTCCTGCCACACTTGGCAAATATGCAAGTCATGTTACTGTTTAGAATTAAATAATACGAGTTGCTCACAATCATACCTCATAAAGAATTATTATTATTTTTTCATTATCTTACATAATCTAATCTAACAAGTTTCTAATTTTTACATTTTAGTTACTTTTATGATAAGTAATAAAAAAATTCACATGAAAATTGTTATTTAATTAAATGTTGCACATAATAACACAGAATAATAACAAACACAAAGCAAACAACGTCCTATAACTATCACAAATTTTCTAGCTTTCTAACTATACGATAAGAGTTTAAAAATTCAGTTAAGCTTGTCAATGTGAATACCATTAGATAAAGTTTCAAATTAGAGGTGAAATAAACAATTCTCTGTACAGAAAATAATGTAATATAATACATCATTTGATAGAGTAAAACCTTGGCATTTTATTGGTTATAAATAATATAGTATTGAACATCAGAGAAAACTATTGCAATTTGTGAAAGAGAGGATGTAAAAGGTGGCTCTGTAAACAAAAAGAAAAAAATTGAAGGCTATAAAAATTATGCTTTGCATGAATAATATTTATATTATAATGAGTAATTTACATTAAATTCTGTACTTTTTGGAGGGGTGATAAATTAGAGAAGAGGGAAGATATAGAGAATAAATGTCATGATTCTTATACAGGGTGAGATTGAGAACTTTTTTAAATATTTCCTTATAAAATTAAGAACTTAAATAATATTTAGATTTGATTTATAACAACATTTTAATGCCAAGTTATTAGTATGCAATGATAATTAAGTAATTTAATTAATTTTGAATGTCACCCTAAAGAGTTGTTACATGAGCCCTTTGATCTACCTGTAGTAAGAGGGGAAAATCGTCAGTTTTAGAATGTCTTGTGTCGAAATTGCATATTTGAAATATAAATTATTAATATTGTGGATCACCAACATTCTTACTGAAAAGTAGACTTACAGTGCTTCTTCTGTTAACAGCAAAATATTTGAGTTCAGATGAAAATATTAATTTTTTTTTCTATATATATATATATATATATATATATATATATATTTCTTATTTGTTATAAAAGTAACTAAAATATTTAAAATTTAGAAACTTTTAAA